TCTCTCTCTATGTGTGTGTGTGTGTGTGTCTGTGGACCTATGTGTGCTTGCAGCACCACGGCGCTTGTTTTGGGCATTCTCCAACAATAGAGTAGGGTCAAGAGGAGCTTGAGAAAAGGGACTGACTGATAGTGCTTGATGTCAAACTTGTGCAGGGAACTGGAGGTGAAGAAGAAGAAGCGGATGCGTCAAAATGAGAATTGGAAGAACAAGGACGACGAGGCTAATGCTGAGGATGACGATGAGGAGTGGTATCGAAACGAAGTTGGAGAAGACCCTGATGAAGGTACGGACGTGCATATGACTTCTTCCCACTGCAAGTACGATGTAGTTGGACATATGAATTCTGTCTGAGGTTCATTTTCCATGAAGTGAGGTTTGCAAGATTGGATGTCATTTCATTGGTGAATGGAGTTATGCCATCGAGAGCTTATAACTTTTCACACATGTTTGAAAAGAAGTGCTAGAATTCTAAAATGGGTGTTTTGAAATCAGACCAACAACATAGCTCAGTTGGTACACCCATGAACTCTTGAGATACAGACCCAAGTTTGAATCCTGATGAACCTGCGAATGGAATTCTGAATCGCCCAGGGCCAGTCACTCCGATAATGAGATATCAAGGCCGTCACTCTTTTAAAAGATAAAAAGAGAGAAACCTGCGATGAGTGTTAGAATCACTGTGAAGTACATCACATCTGTGTCCTCTCCTTGGCACTCCGCTTCTTCCCCTACCCTTTCTCCCTCCCCCGCCCCTACTCCCTTCAGAATCCCACTCCTTAACGCGTTCCTTTACTCTCCCCTTATGTGTTACTACCAAAGCAACAACGTACAAATGAGCATCATTAAGAGAACAGACAAAGTATGAGTTGAAGATATGAAATAGGTTATGGGTCTACGCCTACCTAACTCTGCTCTGTGTGGAGAGCAGCACCCAAGTTCCTAACACCTGGCGCAGGCTGGGAATGGATTAACTTCCACAACCAGCCAGGAGGGACTCTAGCCTGGAGCTCTCTTTCCCAGGGTTTTCACATCAAAATCCTATGGGGATAATCAGAACAGAAAGAGTAGGCAGCACTCTATAGGAAGGATGTCAGAACAGGAAAGAAATCATAAGTTGGACGCATTCCAGCCGAGTCTAGGAGGATTTTCCAGTCGCTGAAGGAGAAAGAAACGATGCTCGCTAGGCCGAAAAGTCTTTTCCATGGCTATGATGGATTTTTGTGTCAAAGGATGGTCTGGATTAGTCGAGATGCCCGGATCTAGTCCCTTACAAAATGATATTTAAATTTCTGAATTAGTGAATTTTCAATTCTGTTCTTTTGTTGTTGCTCTCGAGTTTTTTCCCCTTGAATTTGGTTGCCAGTTTTGAGATGGGGATCGCCCAAATGCTGTCCGTAACTTTGTATTGCATTACTGCACAAACTTGGCATGAAATCAGGACATTTCTCTTCGTCCGGATTTTGAACCATGGTTTGTGGATCATGTGGGCACTCACTCAGATGTTTGAATGATAGTCATGGTCTGTTACTTCAAACAGACACCTGACGGCGTTGGGGCTGTTATCAATTCGTTCCCCAAGCAGTGAGCAGTGGAACCCTACTCAGCCCCGATCGTTCTTATATCCAACTGATTGCATTACGATTCAAACTCATGGTCTGTTTCTTAACAGTTACATGTCTGTAGCATTCATTCAACGACATGGGCTTGGTACTTCGAGAGGCGGTTAACGGAGGCCTCCATTTTCAGACAACTTGTCATGCCATTTATAACAAAACCAAAAGGTCGTTTTAACTAAACTTGCCACCAATTCATAGAGTGGAGATCGTACTAACTACTTACAAAAGAAAAAAATGAAAAAAAAACTATAAAACATCAAGGCAAAATTGCACTTTCATGAAATTTCGCCAACATCCCAATTTCAGAAATCTCATCAGAGGGAAAAAAGATTGAAAGGTACTTCAGTTGTTTAAGTAGTGACTGTGTTGGCCGTGCGTGGACAATGGCCGTCCGCGGACCTACCGGCCCAACGGCCCAGATTGCCCTGCGATCTTAAGATTTTAAGATCGCGCGGCGATCCAGGCCGTTTGTGGTCCTACCGGCGCAACGGCCCGGATTGCCCCGCGATCTTAAAACTTTAAGATTGTGGGGCAATCGAGGCCGTTGACCCGGTACCACTTGGCCAACGGCCCAGATTAGGATTTTGCAGCCCAACCGAAGTTAGGGCTGCCAGGCGTGGGAAGAAACCGGTTCTGGTCGGGACAGTCTCCTCTTTGGCTCAGTAGTTCGGCCCCCCCGCATATCTTTGGCGGCGTACAGCACGTGCTCACACGAATGCCCGCCCGTCCACTCGAACAAGCACATGCACGCACACACGCACAAGCACGAACACACACATGCATGCGAATGCATGCAGGGTAGACTGTCGGGGTTCAACCTCCTGATGAGTTGGTGAAGTCCAACGAAACAGTCTGGCACAGTCATGTTTTTTTTGTGGGGTTCACACAAACTGTGTGTGGGTAGGTGCACGCACGCGCTCGCGCGCGCAGGAGAGAGAGAGAGAGAGAGAGAGAGAGAGAGAGACAGAGAGAGAGAGAGAGAGAGAGAGAGAGAGAGAGAGAAAGAGAGAGAGAGAGAGAGAGAGAGAGAGAGAGAGAGAGAGAGATACCTGTCTCTTATACACATCTAGATGTGTATAAGAGACAGCTCTCTCCCTCTCTCCCTCTCTCCCTCTCCCTCTCTCCCTCTCTCCCTCTCTCCCTCGCTCCCTCTCTCTTCCTCCCCTCTCCCCCTCCCCCTGCACCCCCTGTGTTGGAGTGTTCTTAGATTCTGCTAACGGGCCGGCCAGTGGAACAGCAGCTTTCGTGTGGAAGAGGACAAAGGGCTCAATTTGACACATTGTTCTGTTGACAAGTCAACCACGGGGAGGACCTTCAGCTTTTCAGATGAAGTAGGCTCTCGCTCATATCTAAATTTGACACATTGTTTTGTGACTGGCAAAATTTGACACTTTGTTGTCTAACAATTGGACTCCTGTTTCTCCCTGTTTGAGCAGGTCAAGCTGGCAAATTGCAGGAGGGTTTTGCTGCTGAACTACAACAAGGATACGCAGAGGATTGATTTCCGTCACTTCTTAATCACTGCACAGCCAGTTGGCGTTGCCCGCAATATCCGAAAGCTTGTGCAGAAACATCAGGTACCTGACCTTGGAGGTCTGCAGGATGTGAGCGAATTTCTGAGGTACAGTGATTGTCTCGTTCAATTGTTCTCCCCTGCCTACCTTAGGAGAGCTCCACACACACAACAAGCAGTACAATGTGCAGCGCCAGGCAAGCAGAAGGCTCTCGGGATCAGGGAGCGAGGGGGGGCGTGCATTTCGAAATCAGAGCCAGCCTTGGGGGAAAAGGATGGGAGAAGTGGGGTTGACGGGAGATGGGGGAGTTAGAGAGAGAGAATGGCAAAGGCAGAGGGAGGCAGTGAGAAAGATGGGAGGGGGTGGGCAGGGTTTAGCCTCGCGATGAGTTGGTGAAACTCCAACGACACAGTCTGTGACAGCTCCTTGTTTGTGTATGGTGGTGGGGGGGGGGTGCACTTGGAAATTGGAGCCAGCGTTGGGGGAAAAGGAGGGGAGGAGTGGGGTTGAGGGGAGGGGGGGACGTTAGAGAGAGATAATGGCAGAGGCAGAGGGAGGCAGCGAGGAAGAGGGGAGGGGTTCAGCTGCCTGATGAGTCGGTGAAACTCTGACAAAACAGTCTGTCACAGCCTCTCGTTTGCTGTCCTCTTCTCCCTCTCTGCCTCTGGTCCACGGGGAAGTTCTCTATGTGTATTGTCATCGAGAACTGACCGGCAAGTCGTATGCAGAGAGGGAGAAGAAGACAATGAACGAGGGGCCTGTTTTGTTGGCGTTTGGCCGACTCATCAGCGCATCATTGTCCATGCCATGACTGATGTTGCTGATTTCCTACATAATGATGCTGTTTTCTTGCCACTCCAAACCGTCCGCAATCTTGTTTGTGCTGAAGATCCTTTTTTGGCCCCGTGCTGCAGCAGGAGAATGTCCCGACACTCTGCGAGCTTCTCCTTTGCACAACTACAAACACTTACACTCGGCTGTAGCAACCATTGTCTCTGTCACAATCAGCACAATGACATGGTTTCTGCATCTGTGTGTAGAGGACTGTCCCTCCATTCCTGGCTGCAGGCACCCTCTGCATCCAGACATTAAACGCCCATTTTGAGGCCATGGGCATCATACCGAATGCATGGTCTTTTGTGTTGCCCGCCCTTCCTTTATGTTGGCCTGCAATCGACACGCCATTTGTCGGGAGGGTGTGGTGGGCATGCTCAATGCCAGCCGTTGTGGCAGTTGTTGTACTGAGAATGCTCAGCTAGGTCTTCCATGTGTTCATCCGCCTTCTAGTTTTTCAAGGACAGACGGATTCTTGAGCCTTTCTTATCCTTTCCTTCGCTTTCATCTTCATTCTACACCCGTTGCTTTCCCTTTGGCTACCTTTGCTTTGTCTCCGCTCGATCTCTTCTGCATTTGTCCCCTCCCCCTTTACTCTGCCTCTTTCTCACAGCGTACAAGTGGGCCATTATGGCACACGGGGATGCGGGCAGCTAGCAGTCGACTTCATCAACGTGGCGAACATTGTACGTGAGAGGCACAGTAAAGGGGGAGTTCAAAAGAAGAACACTAAAGATGAATGACCTCAGTGTGCTTTTCATGGTTGCCTTGTGTGACTTTATGGTTTGTTTCGCGAAGTGCGCCCTTTTAGTTCATAGATATGTGACAATATATATGTAATTCATAATTATCTGACAATGTATACGATATATATCGTCAAACAGAGCTGCCCGGTAAACCGTAGGCAGAGAGGAAGAAGAGGACAACAAACGAGGGGCTGTGACAAACTGTTTCGTCGGAGTTTCACCGATTTGTATGACAATATATACACATACACAGACCACACAAACATTGCCAACCTTGCATTTGCTATTATATTGCCTATCTATACGTTTTCATTATGGATGGTTTGTTATGATTTGTGGAGGAAATAGACTTCTATATGAACCACCGGCAGAGCGATGTGCTCGTAGTTTATCACCACCAGGGTGAGCTGTTGCGGATCATATCCTGCAGCAGCTGAATGCCCTTGCGTTGGACCGATCCTCCCTGTTGTTGTCTGCCCATAGAGAAGGAATACATACTGAGGAAACCTCCATGCTGTTTTGTGATGACCCGCCGGAGATTCAACTAGCATGTGGTTCACATGCCTTGTGCCGTGAGGATTATGAAGGTATAGTCCATGCGAGTTTTTGCTTCCATATGTACGATGACAGTCAGTACTGTACTCATGTACGGCACCCCGATATGTCATGTCCAATTTGTAGACGGGCTGGAACGGCAATGCCTCTATAATTGCGGTCGGCGTGCCCCTGTGTTCCTAGCATGTACGAGCCACGTAGCCTGTGACATCTGTCTGCGCCGTGCCATTCGATGCAGCAGCTGTGACTGCGAAAATTGGATGCGGTGCTTCCATAGCCCACACCCGAACCGGTCCTGTCCAGTCTGTAGGGGTGGCCACTCGCCATAGTAAGTGTGTGTGTGTGTGTGTGTGTGTGTGTGTGTGTTTGTTTTGTTAGAGTAGTCTTCTTCAGCGGGAATAATTAGAAATCTGTGAAACCCGTCATACACCTTTCCCCTGCTCTTTTCATGTCATACTCTATCCTGCCCTCCACATATTTCTTTCCTTCCCGTTGCCCCTACCTCCCCTGCCCCATACTCCTAGAGAACTCTGCCTTCTATCCCTTACGCTCCACCCTCCACTCCACTCCCTTCATAACAAATACATACGAATGAGCATCATTAAGAGAATAGACGATATGAAGATCACAAATGAAATGAACGGAAGTATGAAGATGAAGGACGGACACAAAGACTGTATAAGCTGAAGATCTGAAGTGAAATGAACAGGAGTATGAAGCTCTGAAGAGATGCACAGGAGCATACCTTCCCTTTTACTCTGCCTCCTGAAATCACGTGCAAGTGGGCCGTGAAGGCACATGGGGATGTGGGCAGCTGCCGCTCAACCACAATCAATGCGGGCAGCCTTGTGTGTAAGAGGCAACAGTAAAAGGGGAGCTGCAAGAACAATGAAAGGGGTAACCCAAGGACAACCAAAAAATTGTCTAATTAACAATTATAAAATTGCTTCAGTATGTCGGACATCTCAAATGCTCTCGTTGTCTGCAATAGGACAAAGACTGCTTTGATTCTGAATCTATTCACCTGGGTGGAATTGGGGCTGTTGTGGGGAAAATCTAACACACACACACACACACACACACAGACAGAGCACATACAAACACATTCTTGGCACCGACTTTTACATGGGAGAGAACTTCATTGTTAAAACAGGATTATTCTCGAGCTGGTGCGAACATGCTTGTGAATCTGTGAGAAAGGTCGAAAAGTTCTGTCTTGTGCCATGGATGGTGCATAATTCTGGGCAAAACAACTTGTTGCAGTCCCTTTTGCATGTTGTGACCGATTTACTTCTCTGTGTCTCGCAGGTCAGGCTATGGGTCCGAAAGTGAGGTGGAGGAAGAGACGTCGAGAGTCACACTTCCACAGGACTTGAAGGGAGGAGGAAATCGAGCATCCAATCAAAGTGCAGTTAAACTGCAGGAGATCGGTCCTCGGATGGAGCTTCAGCTGATCAAAGTTGAAGCAGGACTGTGCTCTGGCGACGTACTTTTTCATGCATATGGTGAGTTTCAACTTCAATTTCTTTCGTGAAAAGGTTTCAACTCTGTGAGTGTGCTCATGGATTCTGGGCTGGTCGCTCGCGTATTGTTGGGGGGGGAGGGAGGGCGCGGGGGAGGGGAGAGAGTGCGCTCTCTATCATTTATACTCAGTTGTGGTTCTTGGCTACTTGTGTGATTCTGGTTGGTCTTCGAGAATTGTTCATATGCAATTCTTCTTATTGTGGAGATTCCGCTGTGCATATTTCTCTTTGCTTTGGTGTGAACATCTCTTTCTCTCTCCATATCCGTTCTGTCATCTTTGCTGTGTGTGGGAACGTGATGATGCTCTGCTGAATTGTGATTTCAACCAGTCACATAGCTTCTGTCTGCACCGCGCTGTTTGACACACTTCCTGTGACTGCGAGGATTTGATGTGGTGCTTGGGACTGCTTCCACAGGCCCTGCTCAAACCGGCCTTGCCCAGAGGGCATAGCCACTCACCATAGGCAGTACCTACTCCTCCGGTCATTTTTTCTGTCCAACCTGACCCCAAGTGTCCACTGTCTTTCATGGCAGTCTCTTGAAGTCGGTTGTGCCTATGAGTATTCAGGATTTAATGGTGTTCCTCTTTTCCGCTTGCCTTTTCCTCCCCTTTCTCCCATCTTTCTTCTTGCCTCCTGCTTGCTTGTTTAGAGCATTCCGTAACTCCTTCGCTAATACCAGTTATGGTATGCATTGTGATTGTTGTGCAACTATTTTTTTTGTCGTGGATGTGCATTCAGTCCACAAGACGCCAGAAGAAATTGCAGCACTGAGAGAACAAGCGGAGAAGAAGGAGGTGCTAAGAAAGCAGCGTAAAGCAGAGCAGGAAGCAAACGTTAAGCGGAAAATGGCGTAAGTGTTTTACTCTGTCCATGGCCTTGAGGGAAGGTAAAAGAGTTGTTGGGAGTGGAGCAGAGCAGGAAGGAAGCGAGCGTGTGTTGAGCAGAGAATGATGTGAGTCTTTTAGTATGTCCGATGTCCATGGTATTCGATGGAAGTAGAAAGAGTTATGTCTGAAAAGGTTTGCGTACTCCTCCGTGCGTGCCCGGATTCGAACCGGCGACCTCGGCCTCAAGAGCCAAGTCTCTTCACCACTACACAGCCAGGACACGGTGCTCAAAAGTGGAACCATACCGGTCGTGATCTCCACCTCACCCCTGCAAGGCTGTACTGTCCAATTCAACACACACCCCGCACTCAACTCCACGGACACGGCAATTCTCACACACCCCTGCAAGGCTGTAGTGTCCAACTCAACTCACACACCCCACTGGTACTTAGCCCGTTCACCACGCAGGCTTCCTTGAACTGCCCGCAGGTTCATGGGAGCCTTCCACAGTACTCATGTATGAACCTGCGGACTGAAAACAAAAAAAAGAAAAAGGTGAATACTATAAGTGCACTCTGCAGAGTCTGCACTATGTTTGACGTTTTTTTTGTGTTCTTGGTTCTCCCAAACGGGTCGCCTCTACCTAATGCTGCTGGATTGGACAGTATTTGGACTCTCGATCTGTTTTCAAGTAGTCATGGGGTGTGCCATTCAGCCACCGGGTAGTTCCATTCTTTACCGTATGTCAATGTCTTTTGGGGTGCATCACATTCCTCTCGTTTTGCACAGTGATGATGATGAGGATCATGGCACGAAGGCTGTAGTATGTCTCCACCCCTGAACTACTGAATGGTTTTTCTGCCAATCAAGGTCTGTAATTTGTTCCAGTGTGTGTCGGAATTCTGCTGTTTTCTGTCAGAAGCAAGGCTGGGCCGGCAACCGGCCGGTTGAGAGCCGGACCGGAAAACTGGTTTTCAGAAGGAAAAAAAAAATGTTTTTTTTTTTTTTTTTTCCCCTGCAGATCCCGTTGAGATCTGTCGAAATACACGCTAAAATTTTGAAGCCAATATCTTTGTTGGGGGGGGGTTCCCAGGGGTGGAGGGAGGAATTACTGGGGTGTGTTGAGGGAGGTATGCCTTTCACGTAGAAGGGCCAAGCTTAACAGACTGACATGGGGGTGGGGGTGGGGGGTGCGGCGCGGGGGCGTCTTACAATTCTTTTAGTCTATTTTGTGTTGCAAATCCACCGTTTTTTGTAAGAAGCAAAAAGCTATACAGGGCTGTCTTTTGACAGACCTGTACCTTGGTGGTGTTGGTCAGACCAGTTGGGCTTTGTCTGGTTCAACAGAGTCTGACGTGTAATCGACGTGCAGCTAAGGCATTACCACAATCCTCTGCCATTACCTTGGTGGTGTTGGTCAGACCAGTGGGCTTTGTCAGGCAGTTTTTCCATCAATTGTTGCGGTGTACAATTTTGCGTTCCATTGTGTGTCAGAATTCTGCCGTTTTCTGTCAGAAGCAAAGAGCTATACAGGGCTCTCTTGCGACATACCTGTACCATCGTGGGTTGGTCATACCAGTGCTTCGCTTTCTGATTCAACAGTCTGACATGTATTCGACGTGCAGTTAGTCTTGTCCGCAATCAGGTAATTTTTTCCATCAATAATTAATTTCCGATATGGCAGTTTTTGCTGGCTGTTGACTTCAATATGTCGGTATCCACCATTCGGTTTTTGCAGGGCCTAGACACAGGCTCTTGCGGTCTAGTTGTCAGTCTTATGTCCTGTTAGACCAGTTTTATTATTATTTTTTGGGTTCTGTGCAGCCTAAGCACACATCTGCTTGATTGGATTAGTCGGTGTCAACTGCGCATAATTGCCGCTGGATTTAATTGCTGTTTATCGCACACAATGTGGGTGGGGTCCTTTTCCCTGACCAGTTGTGGCTATTTATACGAATTTTACAGTGTGTTAAGGTGTTTAATTAATGACACTGAACCAGCAGTTCTTCTGAGCAAATTGGACCGTGATTCATGAAGTTTTTCTTCTTCTTTTTTTTTTTTTTTACTTTTGGATTTGAGGTGCCATGTTATTTCATTCCATTAGGTCCATCTGGGTTCGAACTCAGGTCTGTGTTTCAGCTGAATCATGAGCTTTTTTTGGGCTTTCTTTCATTCAAGTCTGGAAGTATCACTCTAACAAAAACCACAATTCCTACGGTTGTTACCAACCGAGTTAGGCCGGTTCGTACGGCGATTCACGAAGCTAGTGAGCTGGCCTCTTGAGTTTTTTGCCAGCATCTAGTCACTATAGTGATTAGTACTGATTACATTGGCAATCTGGCCTTCATTACGCCTTTTTCGTTTTGAGCACATCAGGCATCGAAGTCCTGCATGCTACGGAAGGAACCCATTCGTAGGCAACCCAGGCTTAGCGTTGGACAGTGAAGCTGCTGTGTTTGAGCCAGTTTAGCCTTCTTAACTAGCGTCTCCACCCGAATAAAACGCCCGGTCATTATACCTGTATATGGACGGGAAATTGCACCAAACATGGCTATAATGACCTGGCGGCGTTCTATTCGGGTGAAGACGGTAGTTACTTGGGGTAACTTGGGGTAAGTTTAGCTGGCGAGCTGAGTGAAGTGTGACTCTTTGTCTCTGAGTTACTGGTGGGTTCAAATTGACCAGTTAAAACCACCACTACCTCCGAGCCTGTTTTACCCGACCCTGATTTTCACTATGTAGTACACACCGAGTTTTGCCGAGCCTTGGGTTCGTTGTGTTTCTTTTCTGGTAGGGGAGCACGGCCAGACATTAAAAAAAAGACGTACTCACAACCACAAAAAGGAAAAAGAGAAAAAAACAACACCCCTCTGGACGTGGTACAAGGTAGATACCTGGACCAAAGTTGTTGTGCCAGTATGCCCTCAGTGAGGGCTTTACGGCAGGGGTGTCAGGTCCACGAAAAAAAGAGAAGGAAAAAACAAATCGAAACTGAACTTAGGGCGGGAAAGTGGGTTCATACATTCTGCAAAGTTGTAGTGTGGGCATGCCCTGCTTCACAAAGTGTCAGCAGCCCGTGGACTGCGCCGTGCCTCCCTGGCAGGGCATGAAAACAAAAAAAAGAAAAAAAGAAACAAAACAAAAACAGCAGCAACGACAACCTGAAACTGGCCACGATCGTAGTTTGATACTTTCTTGTGAGTATTGGTGTGACCACAACTTCGTGCACGGCCTTCCTGGACTTGGTCTTTTGTTTTTCTTTTTGCTTTTCGAAGGGGCCCACAAGGCCCAACTGCCGAGCCTCCGCCGACCCCCTAAAAGTTTGGAAAAAGTGGGAAAACAGCCACATTTCCCCATTTTTTCCAACACTGGTGGAGGTCATGGTGGTTTAAGTGGGTCAATGGGGGGTTACTTTGGGCAGCTAGCTGATTTAAGTAGTTTTTATTGGTCAGTTTCTCTTGCTGTGTGCTTGCCCTCCTGTCTTCCACCATGGACCACTGTTCTCCCACTCCACAAGGGCAACGGGAAAGATGTGAGCTGACAGCTTTCACCGCTTCGCACCTAATTCTTTTAGCAGAGGCAAAATGACAGCATCAGGAGGCAGCTATGCCAACTGTATGGCAGTGTCTGCCGGACTATTCAGGCCACCTTGGCTCAGTTGATTTGCATGCTGGATGCTGGATGCTGGATGCTGGATGCCGGATGGTGGTCCCACCATTCTGAATGCTGGATGCTGGATGGTGGTCCTATTCTGAATGCTGGATGGTGGTCCCATTCTGAATGCTGGATGCTGGATGGTGGTCCCATTCTGAATGCTGGATG